GTAGCAGTGTACTCGGCGTGCATTCATGACGCCCATGATTTGGCTCGTCCGGGTCGACAATTACCGCTCATCAGCTTTATTCTCCATGAGGTTGACAATTGATCGACTATTTGTGGCGACTCCCAAATCATATTTATTACCATCCGATTTGGCATCTACTACTTCACTAACAATTTATAATGCCATCATGCAGCTAGTTTACACTACAAACCTATCGCTGCCTAGCAGGGGCAAATCTAGAATGAGGGCGACGAAAGCTCAAGCCTCCACGGCTGACAATAGGACCACCATAAAATCCCCAATAAAACTTTTTATCACATGCACATACAGAATATACATACGAAGAAGAGATATATATAGCTTTCTCAAGTTTACTGAAACCCCTCGTTATTTTCTTCTTGATCCATCAGTGTCTAGAATATTAATTTGGGTCAACTTGACGGTCCTTCTTAGGGTGTGTTTAGGAGGTGAGATTGGGAACTCACCTTTCCCGCACGCAAAATAAAGCAACACATTTTCTTATGATTAATTAAGTAATTTATTATTTTTTTAAAAAAAATTGATTAATATGATTTTTAAAACAACTTTCTTACGTAAACCTTTTTTAAAAAAACACACCAGTTAGCAATTTGAAAAACGTGCACATGGAAATGAAGAAGGTGAGTTGAAAAAGATGGGGGAATAACACAGCCTTAGACACAGTACAAAACATATGGATGTAACTGTACAATATTAATTTTAGTGCGTCTGCTAGCTAGATCGAGTCTGTTTCGATCGGTTCTTCCATTGGTACACACACGTCCTAATCTATTTATACCGTGTACGTAGCACAAGTGCACAACTGGTGAGATTCTGGGCTGGACACATCAAATTGACGAGGGCCAGCGGGTCTCTCGTGCGCCCGTGCTTTTGCCTGTCTCTAAAACGTTGATCGGGTTCATGGTGCCATGTGCATTCTATCCCATGCACTGCAATGAATGAACTTAACTGACAACCACCGTATCATGCCAATTGATAGTAGAAGCAGTATTAGCTAGCTCTGGCCCGTAGTTGCAGAGGAGTACTATACTGACTGGCAAGAGCTAAAGAAAACTGTACTATATATTCAGTGCTGTGGCGGCAGGAGAACGCACATTCCGCTGGTCCAGGCAGAGAGACCAATGGCGTCTTGCTGGGAGCAGCTGCAGGGCCTCTGCGCCGCCGGCCACTTGCGTCGCCGCTGCCGCGGTAGAAGCTTGGTCCTGCTGCAGCAGCTGCAGCTGCTGGGGGTTTTGGTGGTGGTGGTGGCCGGGGTTGCACCAGGCATCAGTGAGGCACAGGTGAGGAGCCGGTTCAAGGCGATCTTCATGTTCGGCGACTCGATCGTGGATCCAGGGAACAACAACGGGCAACTAACGGAGGCGAGAGCCGACTTCCCGCCGTACGGGCAGGATTTCCCCGGCGGGGTCGCCACCGGCAGATTCTCCAACGGCAAGGTCCCCGGTGACTTGATAGGTACTACTACGCACGTACACACGTACTCCTAAATTAATTTCCGAGAATAGCTCCGAACAAATATTTATCTATTGGTCTTTGAATTTTTTTTTTATGGAGGGAGTACTCCTTCCTATAGACGATGCACTCTCTGGATACTTTCTGCTAATTAAGTAACTGCACTTAATTGCTCTATTTTTAGCTATTTCCTCTGTTCCAAAATAAGAACAGCTCTATTAATTTAAACTGTGTGGGGCTACACTTATTTGCAACAGAGAAAGTATATAAGCTGTGACAGCGTGTTCGGGCTTATTTTGACACTAAATAGTCGTAGCACCATCATTTTGTGTAGCTTCGGTTTACAGCATGTTTATTTAAGGAGTACTCCACGTCCTATGGTTTGCACTATGTAACACAATTAATTATTATTCTCTAATTCTGTTTTTAAGTAGGAGTATGTTTTTGAGATAGAGATAGAGTACTCCCTCCGTCCCAAAATATAAGCATTTTTAAACTTGCATACAGTTTTTGATATGCTATTTTGACCACCAATATCTATAAAAATATGATATTTTAAATAAAAAGAGTTACATATTATGATAGTTTGTTTAATAATAAATCTAATAACATCAATTTTATATGATTGATCTTTTTTATTTTTTTACTACTAATAGTTAAAGTTAAAAATATTTGATTTTACAGTATACTAAAAATGCTTGTATTTTGGGACGGATGAAGTACCTCTTAATTGGTTTGCACCACACGCCCTATGCAACACAATTAATTACACGCACCAAGCGACACAGTTAGTTTGCTCACCGTGGGCCATAATGGAATGAGCGATGCCGCATGCTAGCTTGACGCGGCTTTGTTTGGATCCTCCGGGTTATTAAATAGCCCTCCGAAATCTTGCTATTTAGGAGTATTAAACGTAGATTACCGACAAAACCGATTCCATAACCCCTAGGTTATTTTGCGAGACAAATCTAATGATGTATATTAATCCATAATTAGCGGCTGATTACTGTAGCATCACTGTAGCAAATTATGGATTAATATACCTCGTTAGATTCGTCTCGCAAAACTAGCCTAGGGGTTATGGAATGGGTTTTGTCAGTAATCTACGTTTAATACTCCTAAATAGCCCTCCGGATCTAAACAGGGCGGTAGGTCAACACATTGTCATTAGATTGGTCGGCCGGTTGTCTCATCCACGGTTTATGCTCCAAAAGTATTTTTTATTTGCCGGATGAACGGATTAAATTAGTAACTAAGTTGGATCAACGCATCGGTCGGTTTAAGTTTCACGCACTTTTTGAAATTCAATACAGCTGGATTTATATTCTTGACGAAGTTTTGCTTCCACCATCTGTTGAAGTCGTACTCCAAATTTTGCTATCAAGAGTTGTATCTTACAACTCGTTTTAACCATTTTTCAGTTAAATTAAATATCTCTATTCAGAACAATTACAGTTGCAGTTAGGTCAATACCGTTATCGATCAAATTTAAATGCTTCTGCATTTTTTTTTACCCAGATGATGTTGTGTAAATTGTGCATTTTTTTTACAAAATTAACACAACATCATATTGATATCGCTCTTACATGTGTTGGTTCCCAATGAGGGTATTCCTACTTGTGAGAATTTTGAATATTTTAGAATATAATATTTTTTGTAAAAGTATTCCTAACTTTGTTTAAAATTCAATATTCTCCCAAATTAATTAAGTTATGCTGAAATTTAATTACTGTACTTTGAAAATTTTCAAACTACAACCTCAAAACTTCAAGTTAGAACTTTCAAATTTTGAATTTCTATTCCTCGCATAAGAAAATTTTCGAATTGCTATTTTATAATTTCAGAATAACAACAAATTATTTGAAAACAATGCAGTCTGATAGTTTCATATAATTAAATATATTCTTAAGTTCATTTGGATGCATGCCGTCGGTCCATAGTGTGATATTTTTCTCCTGCGACCTTAATGCAAACCACATTCCAACTACCCTACTGGTCACCATTAAACTTATGAATAGTTCTCGGACAACAGGGCTATAATGTATTTCGCCTAGTTGTGGGCTTGTGGCATGATTAATTTACTTGTCAGAACGTTTGGCTTTGTAGCCAATCCTGTAATAAACCTTTTAGAGCACCTTAGGCTCTGTTTAGATGGAACTAAAAAACTTTTTAGTTCCTATCACATCGGATGTTTAGACACTAATTATAAATATTAAATTTAAACTATTGATAAAACCCATTCTATAATCCTGGACTAATTCGCGAGACGAATCTATTAAGTCTAACTAATTCATGATTAGCCTATGTGATGCTACAGTAAACATGCGCTAATTATGGATTAATTAGGCTTAAAAAATTTGTCACGCGAATTAGCTCTCATTTATATAATTAGTTTTATAAGTAGTCTATATTTAATACTCCAAATTCATCTGATATGACAGGGACTAAAGTTTAGTCCCCGGATCCAAACACCCCCTTAGTAAATGAACACTAAAATGCAGTAATAGAGTGTCATTACTCATTGAATTCCTATAAAATCAAAGGAAGGTTACATAATTATAGTTTGGATAACACATAAATTTGTGTCAACGAAAGAGAAAATTAAACATGAGGTAGAACCTCATGTCCAAAATTCATATGAAATAGCCCATTTCACAGGAATTTCAAAGAAATTTGAGAGAGAGATTCCTTTGCTCCAAAGGATCATATAGTAAAAAAGAAATTCATAGGTATCAAATCATCAAAAATTCATCTAGTTTTCCTTTGTTGCAAAGAATCTCTTAGCATAGAAGTGTATTATAATAGTTGCGTACATTAATGAAGAACATAAAAATATTATGGCGTGCATATGAAAAGATTTATCGCGAAAAGATGTTATAAATTTTTAGTACATAAGAAGTAAAAATTCATCACTGAGTTTATCCTGGTTCAATGATTTGCCATTGACATTGTCAATTTCCGTAATATACTACGACTTTACTAAATTGTTCTACAATATGCCATTGTATTGCATTTCTTTCAAAAATACCTAAAATACCCTTATAAGAAGGTTTGAAAAAAATATGCCTTTTTATACATTATCTTTATACTACATGGAAGTTTGTGTATAAGTTTTTGTGTGCTTTTGTTTTTTAATGTAAACTAGCTAAATGCATGTGCTTTGCTACAGATAAAATTTATTTTTCATGAAATGTTCCACCTGTCGTGTTGCTATGGAAAACATTTACCTTAATTTGATTCTATGCATCGATATCCTTAGATTGATTGTTATTAATATAAAGAAGCTCAGGGGGTGATTTCTAAAATTTACAATAGGAGTAGCTATAAGGTGACAAATTCACTATTCCCCCACTAGATCCTCTTAAAGTAGCATAGATCATCTTTCATATGGTAAAAAAAATATTTTTGTGTTGTTATCTTTTGTGTAAGCAATTTCACTATCATAAGCCAAAAAAATTTAAATAAAAAATACCAAGAAAACTTGAAAGTTATATACAAACTTCCAGGTTGTGTAAGAAGGCTACACTAAAATACGTAGTTTTTCAAACTTCTACTGAGATAAATCGATTGTTGACGTGGTACATTTTTAAGGGTATTTTGGGTGTCTTTGAAAATAGTCAGTCCAATGGTATATTGGAGACCAATTGATGAAGCCGTCGGTATATTATAGAAAACATCAATATCTATGGCAAATTATTGAACTGAGACAAACTCAGTGACATGGAGTAGATTATCCCTAAAAATTATTATATGTCTACAATTAAAATAATGTTCATTATATGATTTGCCACGATGATGTCATTGAACTACACTAGGATTAAAAAAAATAATGGAAAGGACTTGGTAGCTATAAATGATACACACTGCTATGGAACACATCTTTTACGTGACCAGGCACTCCACCTGTGACTAAAGGCTTTGAAAAATCGACGATCTTCCCAGATAGGTCACAAAAGTTGATTTTTATAGTTACAGCAGGCTATGGTTAAGCGGACTACGTGAGAAAATTATTTTTTACAGGCAACTATATGAAGCCAACCGACTGGAAAAAATATTTTCAACAAAAAAAAAACAATGTATGCAGCTGCCTTATGAATGACAGTTGCCAAACCCATATCCATAGATCAAGACACAAATTAGAGAGAGAACAATTCACATGATTGGAAAATGAAACAAATCAAGTTGTTCCATAATAATTTGTATTCACAAATCCAACCCAGATTCACAAGCATACATAAACATCAGAAGCAGGCCAGATCGGGTTCGAACATATTTATTCTCCCCACACGGATGAAGGCACTTGTAGCAGCAGCAGCAGCCCTCCTTGCTCACCTCCTCACAGCAGCTGGTCATCGTCGCAGCTACCATTGCCACCAGTTAGCACAGCCCTCGCATCGGGCCTGGAGTGGCGCAAGGCCAGCATTGTCACCGCCAACCAAGGGCTTCCCCGCGGCCGCTAGTTACGTTCCTCCTCTTCGTCGTGTCACCACTAGCTCAGGCAGTATGAGGCTACTCCTCCCCTTCACCATCACTGACACCCCTACCCTTCTCCTTCGCCGCAGTCGCCTTCACCAAGCCCTCCGCCGAGGCTCGCCCTCGAGCTTCAAAGGTGACCTCATTGTCGCTGCCCTCTTCTGAAATCAGTTATGCCTAGATGTGGTTCGTTGACAGAGGATAACTTAGATGTGGATATATAAGAGAATTGTGGTGGTAAAATTTCCTAGTGGGTTGAGTGAAGGGTGGTCGAGCCAAACCATAACTTTGGTAAGAAAAGGTCACCAAAAGTGCAATTCACTCATTAGTCATTTTAAAACCGCCCTCTATGTGTCATCATACATCCTAGATTAGCCTAACTGCAATCGGCTACGAACAAGACAACTTGCAATTTTTTTTAGAAGCGTCATGCAAGAATAAAAAAAATTAAAGGGTCCATCTGAAGAAAGATGAGCAACAAACATACAAGTTCTTTACAATTATTACATATTCGGTCATTCCAAAATATAACATACTTTGATTTCTAACGATACCGTATAATTACAATATCAGATTGTTTTGTGTTACATGGTTAGCAAATCAGGATTGTAGTTATGTCTTTTTTTTCTTTGTCCGTATATTTTTTTTACTGGATTAATCATTGATTAAGATTAAGTCAGAACAGAATGAGTTTATTACCGTATAAAAAATAACCATGCTATATGTTGTATATATGACTTCAATATTTGTTATCATACAGCTTCTAAGTTGGGCATTAAAGAGCTATTGCCAGCTTACAAAGATCAGGACCTTGAACTAAATGACCTACTTACTGGTGTGGCCTTTGCCTCAGGAGGCAGTGGATATGATCCCCTCACTTCTATATCGGTATAGTTTTGTTATTAGCTCAAAACTCTCAGAAAATACTTCGAAACAAATTTATATTTCCTCATAATGCACCATAAAAAAAGACATTTCGTTAATTGTGAAATACCAATTGATGTATACATGTGCATATGTAATATTTTGTTATGATCATGCAGACTGCCATATCGAGTTCAGGACAACTCAATTTATTCAGTGACTACAAGCAGAAGCTTACATCTTTGATCGGAGAGGAGGCAATGACACGTATTCTCTCAGAAGCAGTTTTCTTTACTGTCATGGGAGCAAATGACTTGCTCAACAATTATTTTACGCTTCCTGTGAGGCGGCATCAATATGACATTCCTGGCTACGTGGACTTTGTTGTCTCTAACGCAGTTAACTTTACTCTGGTAAATAGTTATTCTATTTTTCATCCATATTATTTTTAAGCCATTTTGATTACATGGAAAATTACCATTTATTTCAGTTGTAATGTAAGCACTGCAACGTTTAAATATCCCATATATTTCTGTGATCAGCAGAATGTGTAAGAATATCTTCATCTCCCTCTGCTTTTAATAATTCGTATAGTTGACTATTACTTGAATCCTTCAAATGGATTAAAAAGGCCCAATAATTCTTTCCTCGTATTTACGAAAAATACATCACACAATTCTATAATGTAGCATTATTTGTATATGTTGTTATTAATTTATTGCTAAAAAAGAGTAGGCAAAGTTTAAAACCGGAAAGTCCAATAACATCTCTTTGAGAGTGGAGGTGGTATTTCGTATTTTCTATCCCTAGCAAATAAACATTGTTGTGTTATTACTTCCATGAGTGATATAAACTCATTTTCAGTTAAAAAGAACGAGTGATATACACGCGTTTTTATTACTTGTTCTCGAGTTGGTGTTATTAGAATTACTTGACATGTTATATTTCAACCATCTCGTTGTCACTAGGTTTTCATCTTATTAATAGAAACAATTTAATTTAGCAAGTTAACAAATGGAAATTCTCACCATTAGGAAATTACTTTAGTTCGTCGTTTTCAACATGTTTTACAAACTTGCAAGCTAGCTAGATTGGGCTACTTGTCACCAGATCATTGTATGCATTGAGTTATTTAAAAAAAATAATGCCATCATTTTATAAAATAATATCGTTATAGGTACATATTTTAGATAATAAATATTGGCATTTTTACATTGTAGATTATTTCATGGGATGATCCATTTATTTTCATTCTTTCACACTAAACCTATCTCTTGTACAGACAATGAATGAGATGGGTGCTAAGATGATTGGGTTCGTTGGTGTTCCACCACTTGGTTGTTGTCCCTCACAGAGAACTGGTCCATCAAGAGAATGCGAACCATTACGAAATCAAGCATCAGAATTATTTAATACTAGAATGAAGCAGGAAATCGATCGACTAAATGTCGAACATAATATTGATGGTTTAAGGGTTGTTTATTTTGACATATACTACAATTTGCTCGACCTGATCCACAATCCTGGTTATTATGGTAAGTTTGTAAATTCTCTTTAGTTATTCTTTTCATTTTAGATAAACAATGAGATCTAAAAAAACATACTACTACAACTATATTAGACACGATAACGATAAGCGCAACACTTTCCAAAAATAGAAATACCGCGTCTTCTCCCTCACACGTAACTTGTGCATCCACCTGTTAGCACCATGCAGTTTATATGCTACATCGTCTAGCACTATTGCACTAGTATTTTTAAAACCTTTTATGGCTTATATCTTTATAACTGTATATTTTTTTAATCTTATTGAGCCATCGTACTCTATTTAAAATATATGTGACGAACGAGTACAATATTAAATATATTCAGATTATTTAAAATTTATTTTTGATTTTAACTCTTTTAGCAGTGTTTTTACTTCGAATACCACGATGAGTTACTTGCCTCTAGCAACATAGTTACCTTTAGTAGCATGAAGGGTTAGTTTCTTCTAGCAGTGTAGTCACTTTTAATACCATGAAGAGTTACATTAATTTTTAGTTAAGTTACTTCCCTCCAGCAGTGCAGTTCCTTCTGACACAGTGCAAAAAGTTACTTCGAATATCAATAGTTACTTCTAATACTGTGAATAGTTACATCTATTTTCTAAAGAATCACTTCCTAGATGAAATAAATTGCTTTTATCGAAAAACAAAAATCTCCCTCTCTCTCTATATATATGGCTTACCTCGAATAAAAAATATTATGTATTTACTTGTGAATCTACACATTACATACGAAGATCTTTCTGTTAACACATATATGTAATTACTTATAATGCTATAAAAAGTTACTTCCATTTTAGAATTCAGTTACTTCTAGCATTTAAGTAAATTACTTCTAAATATTTTAAAATATTTAATATTATACTCATTTCGTCATATATTTTGAGTGGAGTTCAACGGATCTGAAATATATAAGTTAGGTATATAAGTTAGGTAATATATGGTTTGAAATATATAAGTTAGGTATATTTCCACTGAACTCTCGCACCAAAAGTATGCATTCATACACCACGCGTACATGATAGCATTAATCGGACAACTTCGGCAGGCGTCGCACCATAAGACTAATCTATGCACGCACACAAATTAGATTTTGCATACTATATTTATAATAATATACACATATACTAGATGTGTAATTAACCTACTATATAACCGCCGATTAAAAAAAATCTAATCATGACCGACCAAATGTATTGATCAAAACGAGTGTATACTTGGCACATATGTATGATTAAGAGCATGTATACAAAAGACTTTTACTCCATTTATATACTATCACCGTACAACCCTGACCTCTTAATATATAGGCATGTCTACGAAAATAAACATATTTTCACGTATAGATCTGCAAAATAGATTTTCACATACGACTCTTTACTCTTTACTGGACATCGTCCAAATCCTTTTACATACAAGTTTTCTTTTAGCCCACCTGAAAAAAAAGGGGCTATCTAAAAAAGTGTTTTTTAAGTAGTGAACACTAACTTCGAAGATATGTTCAACTCAACTTGCATAAATTGGCAAAGACTCGCAGCTTGCACAAGCAAGCATGATTAAATTTAAACCACTAGAGACAGTTTTTTGTGTATACGTAGCTTGCATGTGATAGAGCAACTAGACTTTGGTAATGGGTTTTCTGTGAGTCAAATATATTTAATTACACTGAACATCATGATGATTTTTTATGCAGGTTTCAAGGATACATCTGATGGATGCTGCGGCAACACAGTGCTAAATGCTGCTATATTCATTAAATATCACAGTGCATGTCCAAATGTTTATGATTATATTTTCTGGGATAGCTTCCATCCTACCGAAAAGGCATACGACATAGTGGTTGATAAGCTTATCCAGGAAAATAAGCAGTATCTGATGTAAATGAAATATATTATCTTATATATTACATGTGCTTAAACGGAATATACAACGACTATAAATGTATTCTATAAGTGATTTCAAATTAATCATAACTCTTATTTAGGAAAAAATAACATATATGCTGGTGAGCTAGCGTGTGAAATTCTAGAAAATCAATATATATTGAAAATAACTTAGCTGATATTAATAATGTGTAAAGTATATTGAGCCTTCTCTGTAAGAAATGTTGTAGGGTAGCCCCTATACTCGAGTATTTATAAGATTTGGAGTAAATGTAAGAATATATATATTTATACACCCAAGAATTTTCCATTTAGAGATTTAACTATTCCATGAAAATTATTTTCAATAACAGAGGGTGGACCTACTTGTTATTTTGATAGAGGAAAGGAACTATGATAAGAGGGAATATATAGTGCAAACCTAAAAATATCATAGGGTCTTAACCATAAATGTCGTCCACATAAACATGATTAAAACTTTTACCTCGAGTAAACCTCTATTCGTAGTTAAATCTAGGAGTAAAATTTGAACATTCATTTTCTTTAATTTATGGTAGTTTTAGTTTTTATTGTGCACTAGCAAAAATGCTTGTGTGTTGTAATAGGTGAATGCAATTGTCACGATTGATAAACTCTTGCAGTTTAAATGATAAACTGAAACACAACAAACAAAATAATAGCAAAAACAAGTCAATCCAGTTGCGCCCACTTCATGCGCCATCACAGAAGAATTCTTATGTACAACTTTCCATATCATCAAGCATCAGTATTTTGCTATATATTGTTAAAAAGATACTCTCATCGACCAAAGATAGAAATGTTGATTATTCAATTAGTGAAAGTTTTTTTTCACTCTAGATGGAATGAACTTAAACATTGATAATTTCAAAACTAATATATTTATAAGGAGATAAATTAGGAAGAAAAAAAGGTGGAAACAAGAGAAAAAGGGGAGAAATGAGGAGAACGGAAGGGGAGGGAGAGGATCATGATGATTAGGAGGAAGGAAACGGAGGTAAAAATATTTAGTGGTAAGAGTTGGTGAATATTTATATACAGGTGAATTATGGACGAAAAGCGATGAAATAACCTCCGGCCAATTAGACGTGAGTACACGGATTGGAAGACCCACAAATTAGTGCAAAATTGACACAACTAAAGTCTATTCACCGTACACTGCCATAGGGGTCTACCTGCCAGTCTCATAGCGAAGTACGGTGGCCAGATGTGGTGGATATGGTTCGACCGAACCACCAACTGCACTCCTAACCATCAGCTTCCATGTGGCAACTCCCCATCTGTCCCCAATGACGGTTAAGGGTGTTAACTGCCTTAACCACTAACCTACAACTGTCGTTAGCCTCTATAAAATGAGGAGAAGCTCTCACTCTCAATAAACAAAACAAGTGGAGTACAACTCACTAACACATTTAGGCTACTCTCTAGCAGAGTTAGAATATAAGAAGAGTGTCAAGGGAAGCTCCAAAAGGAGTGCCCCAAATATCGGATTTCACTTCAGGATGTTCTGGAGATATTTGCCTATCTTTGGGAGAGTCCTAGAGGAGCGCCGTAGTTGTCGTATTCATGATCTTGTACCTCGATGGATACTTCTTTTACATAAGTATTTGTAATCTCCTTTGGTATTTACTTGTAGATTGTAGTGATCGACAATAATACTTATGGGGTGCACAATAATAACATGTGGATTATACTGGTTAAGGCCCTTAAGGAGAGGTAATACCCTAGTCCAATTGTAAGATCTTTACCCTTCCAAAGAAAATGCCTACGAGCCCTATCTATATTATCAATGACAACATAAGAAAATAACAAAGAGCACTTGTATTATCAATGACAACATAAGAAAATAACAAAGAGCACTTGTAGTAAGTATGCATAGTATAAGAGTCAATTTATCCCCATGGGAAAGTGAAGTGAAAGTGGCAACCATATTCTCCTTTCAATTTGGTCTGTGAGAGGAGAGAAATCAATCACTTTTGGCTTTGAAGCACTGAGAGGGATGCCTAAGTATGTGAATGGAAGAGAGATCAGAGAACAACCATAAGTTGAGGCCAACAAAAGAGAACAACCATAAGTTGAGGCCAACAAAAGAGCATTATGTTCATCTAGATTGAGTGGAATCATACCAGACTTTGCAAAATTCACCTTTAACGTTGTGGATGAAGAAACTGTCTGAACAAGAGCTTTGAGAGCTATTAGGTGAGGGGCTGAGGCTTGCATAAACAGTGAAGTGTCATCAACATACTGCTTTATGGGAAAATAGTTTTTGGTTTTCTCATTTTAATTAATCCTGCAATTGGTAGTTGTTGATTTAAGATTATTTAGGGTGCTCTTGAAACTCAATTAAAAATTGAGGGACCAATTTAGAGCATGCAGAACTTAATTAAAATACTTCAATCTCAATTAGATTTTTTCTTGGACGTATTTTAGTATTTGAATTTCTTTTAGACTTTTACTATTTTTTATTATAACTTTTAGAAAGTGATTTTTAACTTGGGATGGATTTATCAGGCCGTGACATGCTTATATGTAGGGTTGAAAGTGATTCAGATAATTTTCGTCCAACCGGACCTTTTTTCGGATTCGGATAGTTTCGGTCGGATATATCCGGAAATTTTCGAATTCGGATATTTTTTTGGGATATGAAAACGAATATGACTAGTAGAGTGCCCGTGCGTTGCAACGGGTAAAAAATAAAATAACAATAACCATTAGTTCATCTTTCAATTTTCATGATTTAAAGAAGCATTTATTCACTTAGAGCCAAAAAAAGATGGGATTTCACCACCAGAAGGAAATATTTTTTTTCTTTGGCTTTAAAGAGTGAAGATAAAACCACTAAAATTTCTATTAAACTGAGAAAAACGCTACCCATAGTGTTATGGACCATGCAAGCTTCTATGCAGACGAGAATGTTAACACAAGCTTCTATGTAAACTGAGAAAAATGTTGCCGCATAATTTGCATATAAATAGTTCTGATCAATGTCAAATTTCCATCAAGAAATCTCTGCTACAATTTCACTTCTAATGAACCTGCTAATCTCTCTCCATGTCTCCAGCTCGTGCCATAAGCTCCCACTCCCATACCCCCACATAATCCATCAACTCCTTTTCCTGGCAAGTGGCTAGTACACCAAGGCCACACGCTAGAGTGATCTAAAGCCTGCCAAAATGAAATGAGATGAGAAGCCACATGAAGAACTTTGGAAGCACGATAGCCAAAATAACCAAAATTTGTCACCTTAAAGCAATTATTGGAACATTTAAATAAAAATGAATGTATTGTGCAGGCCTATGTTTTGACAAACACATGAATTTGAAAATTTTGCAGTTTGATAGTTTGGAGCTAAAACTTGGGCTTGTGCAGGCCTGCGTTTTGAGATAAATTAAGCTAGTAATGTGTGATGTCATGCATAAATCATTCTGAACTTTAATAGTCTGAAACTTGCACATGTATTGATTATGAAATCTGAACATGGGCATGCATTTTTTTGTCAACCTATCTGCACAGATAGCTCCCATCCACTTTGAAGGAAGATCTGACAATGACATACTACAGTGCACAGATGAACACAGCACTGCATATTTTGGTCCAAATATAAGAATGCTTATTACACAAACACCATAAGATGGCACAATCCAGTTCATGAAAGGAAAACACTGAATTTTCTTCCTTTGAAAAACAAAAGGTGCAATTAAAGAATAAAAAGCAACAAATTTTACCTGGAAGCGCAAATGTGTCGAAGCACTCAGCACCCTTCCCCTGCCCTCGCCCTTGATATGTTGGCAGGTTCTTCACTGCACTGAATTGAACTTTGCATTCACCTGTCAACTTAGCACTTACAGACAGAAATATCCCGAATAGGATAATATGTCATTTATGAATTGTGCCGCTGCAATAATCCAGCTATTGAAAGGAGAAAGTGTAAAATATGGTTATCAAATCAAGAAGACTGTCAAGTTAAATGAGAAGCGGGAAAAATTCATACTCATTAGTCAACTGAATAGCGATTTGAGTAGGAAGCATATCATCCTCCTAGGGGAAGAAACGTGCAAACATCAGAAAAACCGTTTCGCATCAAAGTAAAAAACTCATAGATACACTACCAGGACAGGCTTAACAGCATATGAAGCTAACAATTAACAGATACAAAATCCTGGAGGTGTAATACACTTTCTCATTAGGCATATATTCAAACTTCAACTATTCTCAATGCTCACAAATATTGCCTTAAATTACAAAATTAGGTGAGAGGAATAAAAAAACCAAACCAAAATCCATTTAGATAGGTCATGCCTAACTAAATGCAAAATCCATTGTTTATTAGCCAAAAAGTAGGTGATTTTTTTAGAAGAATAAGCCTCTCAGATTAATCCCTCTGTCAATTGAGACATAAGGCTTTCATTTACTACTTAAAAAAAATCGTAGTGGCGGTAGTGACTCCAATCCTGACAGACACACGTAATATGGATAGTTTGATCGCCAAATCCAATGGTTCGGATAACAGGCAAACATGTGCTTTCTCTTTGCATCTACGCCCATCACAATGCAAAGCAACTCCCCCTCTCGCTTCCTGGTTTTTCTCCGCATCTGCTGCCACCACCATCACCGCAAGTCTGCAACCTAGCCATGGCATTGACAGCCTCCCACAACGCCTTGCCGCCCCTTCCTGCCCTCCCCCATTGCTCCAAGACACCACATCCCCGCCCAAGCCGCTTGGCCGAAGCCCGTGCTGCGCCGCCACTGCCCTCCCCCTGTTCTCCACGTCACCTCTCCGCCCAACTCAAATCCTCCATGCCATCCCCGCAACACACCGCTTCGCTGTGGATGTTTGAGAAAGCACATCTTAAATTAACAGCATCCCAGAAATTATTAGTAGCAGAGTGTAAAATTCACTGTCGTTCCCCTCTATCAATGTCACACCCTGAAAATTGTTAAATTATAAATTGTTGTGAAAAAGGAATTTTTAGAATTTATTTAATAATTAAAGCAAGTGTGTGAATAAAATCTATGAAAAAATTGAACATAAACTTGATCTAGATAAAATTTTATTGAATACTTTGTATGCCCAAGTATTCTCTGGATTTTTTTCAGAATTATTTGAGTATTGGAATTATTTTTAATAAATGAAAGATCATTTCAGCAATTATTTAAATTAAAAAGTTAATTAAATTCTCTTCCTCAGTCTGGGCTGAATCCTGCCCACTCCTCTCTCTCCCTTCTCCCTTCCGCAGCCCGTGCCTCTCCCTTGGCCGAAGTCTGCATTAGCTCCCTCCTCCTTCTTTCTCTCTGACCCCTGGGGCCCACTAGGCTACAGTGCCATCTTCCTCCTCCAGCATCTCTCCCGTCCCGTGACCGTGAAGCCGACGCCGCATCCTCCGCTCGATCCGGTGCATCCCGTGCTCCGTTTCCAAAATTGGTTGCAAAAACGGATTCCCCTCAATCTCCTCTATCTTATCCCTAAGAAACCCCTTTAAATACCGTTGTATATTGCGTGAATTCGACGCGGTTTCGAGCTCCGTTTTTCCGGCGAATCCTAACTAATCCGTCGCCGATTCCATCCGTTCCCGAGCCGACCTCTCCCTCTTCCGGCTATAAATAGCAGCCCCTCGACCTCCTCTTCCGTTTCCTCCTTTTTCCCGAATTTTTCCCTAACCCCTTCTTCTCCACCAGTGTTCGCCGTAAAGCCGCCGTCACAGTCGTCCCGATCTCGCCGCCGCTCGAAGCTCGTCGCCGGCTGCCGTTCGTCGCCCATCATCATGCAACTGTGGGTAAGGACTGTCTTGTTCTCCTCTTCGCTTTAGTGCTCTCGCTTTCCACCGTTGTGTCATCATTTGTCGTCGCCGGCCATCTCCCGTTGCCGTTTTTCGTCGCCGTCACCATTGGTGAGTTCGTCGTCGCGTCTTCTCTCTCCCGGAGCTGTCCCCTTATCGTCGGAGCGTCGCCGTTCAGTCCTCGTTGCTATCCAGAGCCATCCGCCGGTGATGATGTTATCGCTGACATCCACATCATCTCAAGCCATTGCAAAATCAATATAAATTTTGTTATCTCTTTTCAATGACATATTATTCCTTTTTAATATATGTTACCTACGATCTAATCTATTTTCGGAGGATGTTTTAATCTTTTGTCTCAGCTATAAATCATCTGTAAATTGTTTAATCAATTTGGATTAGTCTTTTCTTTAATAGGTTTAATTGGAATTAAATCTTGTAAAATTCATATCTAACTCATACGAACTCGGAATGAGGTCGTTCAAGTCCCATAATTCATCTAAATTCAAGCTCTACCTATTTATGAACTTTAATTGTACTGTTCATTTGGTTTTTATTAGTGTTATAGGTTTAGTTTTCCGTTGTTTCGGAGGATCGTTCGTTCGTTGGAGAAGTTCCTGAAGACGAATTGAAGACGCTTTTTCGCAAGGCAAGCATGTTGAATCCGTTTAAAGCTAATGTTTTATTTCAAGTTATGCATTATTTTAGAATGTCATCGGGTGGTGAACCTTTCTCATTTAATTATGGCCGAAGATGGCTTTATTTTCCTATGGGTTATAATTTGACTAGCATCGACCTTATATATCGGATTGGTTCAGCTAGATGTTATTTATAGTTGCTTAGCCGTGCTTAGAAACATTAGCTCATTAATGGGATAAATTATGCTTCACTATTACTTATGGTTATATTTAATGGTAGCTCACGATGGTTAATCGTGTTATGATAATTAATTGATAATTAAAATATGATATATGGTGGGTTGTGAGCACATGGTTTTGAAGGTCGTGCTCATGACAATTAAGGACCGGTTCGCGAGCTACTGTTGTAAAATATTAACCGTGCCAACAACATGCCAGCGTGGGCAACAGCTTTACCTTTTGTATAGCCTGGTTCATTACGGGGTGCCAGACTGAGAAGCGGCGAGAGGTCCGTGGGGGTCGCTGGGGAATCCATGCCTCTGGTTTTTGAGGGGGTGATTATGATCCAGGAATGGTGCACTGTGGTGAGTTGTGTTGGGCAAAGGGTATTGTCACGATTTCCCCATTTGCAGTGCCGTGGTGGTACTTCGGGGCATGGCAACATGTGTGGAATCGTGTCTTGTGGGTACAGTGGTACATCTCTGGCCAGAGTAAAACTATTCGAATAGCCGTGCCCGCGGTTATGGGCGGGTCTAACAATGTTTTTCGTGATTAGTCCCACACTACTCATTAATGATAACAATGTGATAATTAATTTGACTCCTGGTTTAGAATGGATAATTCCTGGTTTGGAGGTTTGATCTGTACGACCGGGGTTGGTTGTTCAGGTTTGGTTGGGCCTGAGCAGCATGGGTGTGCTGTTCAGTGTTGATTAATATTGATGATTAATTACTCTACTGTTTTACAAATTTTTAAATCTTTGCTAAATACTGCTTTCGCAAATGAACCCTATATTATGCCATCCTTTGGTATCCTTGTGCACTTGCATACTTGCTGTGTGGCTTGCGGAGTATTCCATGTACTCACCTTGCAATAATCATCAAACCTCAGTTGAAGAAAAAGGATCCAGAAGGAGAAGACCTTTGGTTTAGATCCCAGTTGAGCTGCCTGTGGGAGTGGAGCTGAAGCTTCGCTAGGTTTTATTTTTCCGCTGCAGTTTTCTTCATGGTAAGGACTAAGTGCCTCTTATGTAAGTATTTATTTGCTTTAGTTATTTTGATGAATCTGTATATTAAATTGTCAGTTTGTGTACCTCGGTTAAGTCCTGGACGAGGGTCTTAATGCACAAATTAGTTCGGAAATTACTTATGAATTTCTGGGCGTGACAATCAACTATCCTTCTCTCCCATAGTACCCAACCTTAGAATCGTTTCCATGACCCTGAAGGCTGAAGCAATAGAATAAACACGGAGCTACTTTGCATTATCATTTCGGTTTAACTTTGTAACATGGTAAATCATAAAGGTTACCTATGGGATGACAAATCCCACATCATTTCCCTGGTGGTCTGCATTACGATTCTGAATTCTAATACCTCAAATTTCCTCTACATAGAAATGACAACAATATATTAGTCGAGTTCTGCATAATCAGCCGCACTGGTTTAGGCCTCAGATCAAGATTGTTTTCAGTTGCATGGATTGATCCGAACAGCAAGTACTGCACCAAGAGAGGGAACACTTACGCTAGTTGAGGTCATCGAATTTCTGTGAAAGGTCGTCGTACCTCTCACCTTGGCTTAATGGTGTAGGAGGATACGTGGGGCAACCAGTATTGCATGAATAATGTCTCGCGGCGCTAGGTAGGAATGAGCTCGCACTCCAGAACGGCCTCGTGGACCTGCCGGACGGTGGCCTTGAGGAGAAGATGGGCAACGGCTAGGAGCGGGGTCTCAGGGGGTGGATGCACGTCGGTGAGTGCTGCGGCGCCGATGGAATGGAGGTGGCGTGAGCAGGTGCGTGGGAAAGCGCGAAGGCAGCGGAGAGGAGATGGAGGAGAGGACGATGGGCCACCGGGGAGAGCTGTGGCGCCACTCCTCCCTCCCCTTCCAATCTCAGCCACCGTCACTCGAGCTCCCGCCACCTTGTGAGGCCAGATCGATGGTGAAGAGAGGGTTGTTGGCGGCGTTCCTATCGATTTGAGGTCGGCGGCGCTTGCATCGGGAGGGACTTGAGATGGCAGTGCGACAGTGATATGTGATTGATGAAACTTGAGGCAACTGCGAGGCGAAGGTGGCTATGAGAGGGGAGGGAGACGGAGCGGTGGCCGGCGGCAAAGACTGAAGGCCTGCGAGGTGGCGGTGGCTATGCAGATCGGCGAGGGCGGAAGAGGCGATGCGCAACGGAGGTGAAGGGGAAAGAGCGCAAAGAAGGTGGGGGAGGGGTCGAGGTGCGAGTGGCGGAGGGGGAGGCGATCCGTAACCGAGGGGATACGCGACGTAATCTGGACCGTTTGATCCTGTGATCCAACAACCCTGTGGGTTGGGGTGGGGGAGCGGGCGGAGGAGGAGGAGAGCGAAGGGATCGATCTGGCCGTTGGATCTGGTGATTGTACGGATAGAATGGTGCGTGTCCGTCAGGGTTGGAGTCACTGTCACCACTACGGAATTTTAAAGTAGTAGAGATATAGGTGATATCCATCGGAAATCAGATATCCGTCAGATATTATCGGGTATTTTCCATCGGATATCCGACTTACACATAAGGCCCATAATACAGCCCAACCCAAAGAAGAGGCAAATCAAACTTCTTGGCAAAAATGAATTTCGATTTGAATTTTATGATACTAAATGAACTCATATGAAAAAGTTGTCAAAAACAAAGTTGTAGAACTCATTTCTCCATCCGAGTTTGATTGAACTATATAAAATTTGAATTTTAAAATATAAGAAATTCAAATAATATTTTTGGGTAGTAACTGATTTCAAATGGAAAAATTGTCAAAAACAAAGTTGTATTCTTATCAAGATCTATAACTTTTATTTTGATCATTTTTCTATATGACTTTGTTTGAACAGTTTGAATTTAAATTTAAAAGTATGACAACTTCAAACAATATTTTCAAATACTAAATCATTTCAACTGAAAAAGTCATCAACTTCAAGTTGTATAACTCAACAAGATCTATAACTTTTATTTTGATCATTTCTTCATCCGGTAAAGTGATAGTAATATTGTTCATAAAATTTGCATATCTCTCATTTGCATATCTCTCATTTGGTTTTATAAAATATAAGAGAGAGATGTAAATTTTATGAACAATGTTACTATCACTTTGTCGGATTAAGAAATGATCAAAATAAAAGTTGTATGTCTTGATGAGTTGTACAACTTTTATGTTCATGACTTTTCAGCTGAAATTATTTACTGCTTCAAAATATTATTTGAAGTTTTAAAATTCAAATTTTTAATTGATAAAACAAAGTCATAAGAAAAAATGGCCAAAATAATAGCAGTAAAAACATAATAACATGATAGAGCATAATTTAGAAACACAATAGCAAAAATCGTTTGTTAGTAGTGAGGGGTTTTTATATTCTGATTAATATAATATTCGTCACCGTATTCGTTTCGCTTCGTATTCGCTCCGTATTTGTATTCGATAATATTCGATTCCGTTTTCATATCCAGATTTCTGATTCCGATTTCGATTTCGAAAAAATTATGAAAACGAATATGACAGAGCAGTTTCCGATCGTATTCGATCCGCTTTTATCCCTATTTATATGTAGTGGGGTGGACTGCTCACTTGTACTTCCATTGCCATCTATTAATTACTCAACTTTTTGTTATGTGTGGCAGGGAGATGGAAAGCTGAACGTATGGGCGATAGTCAGATAGGGATCGGAAAGATTCGACCAGGATTTAGTTTGATTGTGAAAAAATCGGGTCCATCTGCTCAAAATCTGACGGTTAATACATATATAGTGATGATGTGGGGTGAGCTGTGGAACAAGCTATGCCTATGGGTACCAAATATTGAAAGAAAGGATATCGAGAGTTTTCTCACCGTTTCTTGTATGCGACACGCGAGGGATGCAAACAAAGCAACCGCATCCTACTATTTGCGACACGCGTGCGTGACACAGCTGCATGCACGTCGCAGCACGTCCAAGTAACTAAGCGTGTTGGCTATACCTATACTCCCTCCGTCCCAAAATATAGCTATTTTTAGCAAGTGTCTTGTTCCAAAATGAACTATTTCTTCACCTACCTCCTCCTCTCAACCAATCACAACCATTCTTCTTCACCTACTTTCTCTTTTCAACCAATCACACACTTCCTCCAATCATTCTCACCTACTTTCTTAATACCCGTGCCAACCTCAAAAATGGCTTCATTTTGGGACGGAGGAAGTACTATATATAGTCCCTCCATTTCAAAATATTTGACACCGTTGACTTTTTAGTACGTGTTTGACCATTCGTCTTATTCAAAAAATTTAAGTAATTATTTATTCTTTTCATATCATTTGATTCATTGTTAAATATATTTTCATGTACACATATAGTTTTACATATTTCATAAATTTTTTTTAATAAGATGAATAATTAAATATATGCTAAAAAATCAACGGTGTCAAACATTTTAAAACGAAGGGAGTACTATATATATCATATATATCTAGTGCGCATCGATCCCTAGTGGAGTGGTAGCACATGCCCCAGAGAGGCGCACACACCAGTGCAGCAATGAGAGGCTAACCGATCAGATCATCAAGCTCAAGCAAGCTAAAATCAATGATCGATGACGTGCCTAAGCAACAGTCGCCATGGATGCTGCCTTTTTGTTCGACCGATGCTGGTGCTGGTGATGGTGCTGGAGCTGACGATATTGATTCCGCCGGCTAGCTGTCTTGCAAGTCCGGTTCGGAACATCTCGGCCATCTTCATCTTCGGCGACTCGACCGTCGATCCAGGCAACAACAACAACCGCCTGACGCCGTCCAAGGCCAACTTCCCGCCGTACGGCCAGGACTTCCCCGGCGGCGTGGCCACAGGCAGGTTTTCCAACGGGAAGGCCATGAGGGACATGATAGGTATGTGAAAGTACTTAATTCGGTGGCACAAACAATCTGTGAGATTAATATATACCTCTGTGCGTGTTTTTGTTGTGTTTGTTTTTTCTGTTGTAGTATTGTCACCTATATATAAATTAAGTCTTAATGAAAAAGATACGCAGCGGCTCATCGCTCGAGCGTATTAATAAATGATTAAGCATCCTAGCTGACTTTAGTTCTTCTCTAGGGCTTGTTCCCTTATTCCCTTCCGAAAGGGAATTGGAGATAATTTAGGGCGAATATTTCCCTCATGCTCATATGGTGACTCGTTGATCGATCAAATATGGAATTGTCCTATGTTAGCATAGAAAATTATGGTGAAATTAGGGCGCTTTTTTTGCATATAGGTTGTGGGTGATCAGCTGCACGCAAAACCAGAAATACGATTAACATATGATTAGTTTAATATTAATTATTAAAAATTTAGAAAATAGATTTTTTGATTTTTTTTTCACGATTAATAACTTATTTTTTATGAAACACACCGTTTAGAAAATAGAAAACGAGGAGTATCTAATTAAGTTCAGTTAGCTCTTAAGAACGTTACCCTAGTTGGATACGCTAGTTAATTCTCATCCAAAATCTCAAGCCCATGATATCTATATGGATTTATATAGCATTTTCTTAGGGGAAAAAAACGTGAGAGAGAATTCATTAAATCCTATTATCATTAAATGGACTCTGTAGTTTTTATTTTATTTTAATTCAAGACATCAAACCGAGTGTAACTGAACTTATAACTTCTAAATTTCACAATTATTGAATTAAGTAATTGAAATGCACTACTATAAAAAGACACATAGAGACGACATCATAGATACCGGAACAGCTAAAACCGACACTTAAAATACTTTTCCCACCCACACAAAAAACCACAGGGGCACGCACCAGCCGCAAAAACCGGCACCTATCTTCCTTGTCAGAGAAATGTACGCTCACTTCCCATTGTCAATAAATTCCATGAATAAACACACAAGTATGTATACACAAAAAAATTTAAGAACAACGATCAGATGCCTACTCTATTGGTGGAGAAAACACCTAGGTAGATTGAGCAGGTCGGGCGGCCACCCAGTGCTACAGAGCACTTTTTTTCAAGCAAATTTGCCACCGTTTTTTCAATTTTGCAAGGATGCCACTCGAATGATAATTCCAGTGGTATTTTTGCATTTTTTAGTGGCAGTTTTACAATAACGATTCAAAGCAATGGTAAATTTGTAATTGACCCTTTTTTCAAACGGCCGAAGTCAGTCTGCAGCCACTAGCCAGACGACTGCTCAATCGCCTGGAGCATGGTGTATGTGGAAATCTATATTTTGCCCTTACGGGTATAACAACCCCATGTGAAGAAGTATTTTGCACGCGGGCACGTAAAGCCGCCATCCTATGAAATGTTTTTGGCGAAAAAAATTAAAATTCAAAAACACAAAATTTCCAAAAACCCTAGCTCGATTTGATCCCATCACCACCGGTAGTCGGTGAATCTGCCGTCTTTGCTGTAGTTCTCCATCTTTGTAGCCACCGTCATCGGATCCTACGTTCCCATCACCGGGGCCACCAGATCCGTCCACGGGGGAGACAGAGAAGCAATGGAGGGAAGAGGGCCCCGCCACATCAGGTTAAGCCCCTCGCATCGCCGCCGCCACCGGATCCGTGCAAGAGAACTAGGAGAAGTCATGTTGTGGAGAGGTTGCCACTACCTCTGGGTCCGCCCCTCCTGATGGAAGATGGCGGAGAAGCGATGGACGGGAGAGGCTATCACCGGACACGCCCTAGCTAGGGCTGTAGCCGTTGGATCTGTCGTCTCTAGGCTAGCCACTGATGGATCCGCTGTGCCTCGCCCCTCATGTCATAGCCATTGGAGAGGGAGTGTCATGGCCGACCTCTGCCGTTGCCACTAACCACCACTCAAGCCACCATTGCCGCCCACCTCTGCGCCGGCCGCCATCTCCGCCACCTTCCATCGCTGACCACCGCATCGGAGAGAACGGGAGGGAGTGAGTGAGAACTAGAGGCTAAGAGGAAAGGAGCATCGCAGCAAAGCTCCGACCCAGCCGCCGTCACCTCAGAGTTATGTAGCTAACCACTACACCAGACAGAACGAGAGGGAGTGAGTGAGAACGAGAGATAAGATAAGATAGCATGAGATAGTGAGGAGAAGCTCTTAAGAAAGGCCAATATGAAGGAAGGTGGCGGAGATGGTGGCATGTCTAGAAAAATCAATTTTTATAGCTGGACTTTTATGGAACACACCGGCTAAAACTTTTTTTGTATGGGTCATATTTTACGATTTTCGCATACGGGCGTTTACCGACACCGCTAAACTTTTTAAATATGGGTCTTATTTTAGGCTGTTTGTAAAAATAAAGGAGTGATGTATGTACAAACCATAATTATGCATACGTGCTGTGATAACTCAAACTCCTCCATCCACACAATAACATAATTTGACCCATCATGCCTTGTCCTTGCCATCTGCCACCATGCTCTATATAAAATTACTGTACCAATTTTGTTTCTGGTATCTCCATTTACTTGGGCATAATGGTAAGGTTTACATGATGTTTTAATTTTTCTTAAAGTCAAATTTCTCTAGGTTTGACTAAGTTTATAAAAAAAATATTATCAAAATATATCCAATGTTAGATTCAATGGTATTAAATTGGTGTTATAGATATTACTGTTTTTTCTATAAACTTATTAGTCAATTTGACTTAAAAAAAAGTCAAAAATGACTTATAGTATGAGACAGAGGGAATAGTTGAGACCAATCTTTGTTATGTTTTTATCAAACATGTATACTGTACTTGCAAACACTAATCTAATGTAAGAAGATTTGGAACTCTCAGAGAGAGTAGTTTGCAACCCGAACAAGAATTTGTATTTGTGTATCAAGAATTCTATTAGGATTTCAAAAACAGTTCACTTTGGGATATGTAAATTTGTGTATCTTGTCCATTTTACCATGAAAAATCAAGTTTTGATGAGTTTTTTTTATCTGAACTTATTTACTGATATTATTAATTGATTGAATAACATGGTAACTCCGTATGAATATCTGGTTTATTATAATTAAGATTATTTCGAACAGCTTCAAAATTGGGTGTTAAGGAGCTAATTCCTCCTTATCTCGGCGATGGTCTTCAACTTGATGATCTACTCAGTGGGGTAGCATTTGCTTCTGGGGGCAGTGGATATGACCCTCTCACTTCTAAAATAACGGTACAATTTTACTTCTTAGAACTTATGTCTCAATACAAACTGCTCTCTAATTATTATCCAGTTTCAATTTGCACTGTAAAGTAAGATTACAGTGTAAGACACACACACACACACGCATATACAGCTAATATTACTTCAGACGTATTTTCTGATTTTCAGACCGCGATATCAAGTAGTCAGCAGCTTCAATTATTCGAGGAATATAAGGAGAAACTAAAATCATTGGTTGGAGAAGAGGATATGACACAAGTTGTCGCAGAAGCCGTCTACTTTACCTCAATGGGGGGAAATGACCTTGCAAACAATTACTTCTTAATTCCTTTTAAACAGCATCAGTATGACCTTGGTTCTTATGTGGACTTCCTTGTATCTTTAGCAGTCAACTTCACATTGGTAAGAAGTATGGTCCCATGAAATGCATGATTTTTTAAGACAATTTACATATATTGAATATTTGAACGTTTCCAAGATAAATCACGCTTTGTGTACATCTGATTGGAATTTCTTGGTTGTAGTTGCTGATTTAGATTTACAGTGAATACTCCATTAGTCCTAAAATTTAAGAAGTTGTGGAGTTAGGCGTAGGAAAGTAGGTGGGTAGGTCACTGTATTCCAAGACAGTGAATGCTAAAAAATGATATATTTTGGGATGGATTGAGTAGTCCTTTTCCATTCTAAATTGTTTTATGCATCTGAGTTTGAATATGTAATGTAACATTATACTTGTTTGCATATTATACAGCAACTGAATCAAATGGGTGCTAAGAGGATTGGATTTTTTGGAATTCCTCCAGTTGGTTGTAGCCCTTCACAAATAATCCTCGGAGGACATCCTTCAGAAAAATGTGATCCAGAACGAAACCATGCGTCAGAGCTATTTAATTCTAAAATGAAAATGGAGATAGCTCGACTAAATGCAGAACTGAACATTTATGGGCTCAAATTGGCTTATATGGATTTCTACCGCTATCTGCTAGAACTTGCCCAAAAACCAGCTCTTTATGGTACGTTAAATTACATATTAAAATAAGAGAGAGATTAACTGTTTCGCACAAAAACAAATAATTACATACATAATTATTATGGAGTGTTAAAATATTACATGTTGAGCAACCGGAAAAGTATGTGGTGAATGGATATGATATAAATTTCCGAATGATAATTGATGATCTGCATGAGCGTGTCGCATTCAACTACTAATTATTAATTCTGGGAGGTGGTCTGTACGAACATTTTTATACTGACGCCGATCTGAAATTTTCCATTATACAGGTTTCAAGGTTGCAGCTGTGGGATGCTGTGGTAGTACCTTGCTCGATGCTAGCATATTTATTGCATATCACACTGCATGCCCAAATGTCCTTGATTATATTTACTGGGATGGCTTCCATCCCACTGAAAAGGCCTATAGCATTGTGGTTGATAATATGATGAGGGTAATTAAAGAGCATTTGATGTGAAGGGGATAATACTATCATATATTGTTAGTGATATGTCCTAGAGGCAATCATAGAGATGATTGTATCACATACTATGTTTTCATATTTATCCGACATTCACTGGTGGAGAAACCATCTTTCGTCGGTCGGCCGAATTCCACAATAGTCCCGGATGCAATAAAAACCGGGGCTAAAGATGATCTTTAGTCCCCGGTTAAAAAGAGTTACGGGCATATTTGATCTTTAGTCCCGGTTGGTGATCTTTAGTCCCGGTTCAAATGCTGTCAGGGCTTGTCAGCCCCCCCGGATCTTTAGTCCTGGCTAGTAACACCAACCGGGACTAAAGATCGTAACTTTAGTCTCGGTTGGTGTTACTAACCGGGGCTAAAGTCCGGTTAGTAACACCAACCGGGACTAAAGTCCCACCTCTCTATATATATGTCTTCTTCCTCCTCCAGCTGCCCGAGCAAGCTTCAAAATTTCTTCAAAAAAGAGGGGAGGTCATGCCAAAATTTCTAGTGAATTTATTTTGGTGATTACATACAAATCGGAGGTGCCTAAAAGGTTTGCAAATTCATCCTCCAATGTTTTTTTTTGTCATATTACATTTGGAGCTATGTTTTGCACACTTTTTTGTCTCCAAAATTTAGTTGTAAGTTGATGAGAGAGAAAATTTGTGTGGGGAAGAAAGAATATATAGAAATTTAGTTTATTTGCTAAAGAAGGTTTTATAAAATAGTTGAGAAGGAAAATATAGTGAAAGTTAATCTTAAATAATAGAAACAAACTAAAATGAAAATTAAAAGAAGTAAAACACATTAAAATTAGTTTAAAACTTTAGAAATAGTAAATAAGTAAAACACGTTGCGGATGATCTTGGTTAGATGTTGCAGGACACCAAGAAGGACTGCGAAAGTGAAAAGGAGCCCCATAAATTGAACAAGATGTTAGAGGACCACAGAACATTGTTGTACCCAGGTTGCGAGCAGGGGCATAAAAAGTTGGATACCACTCTGGAGTTCTTGCAATGGAAGGCAAAAAATGGGGTTAGTGACAAGGCATTTGGCGATTTATTGAAACTCGTCAAGAACATTCTTCTGGAGGGAAACAAATTGCCCGAGACAACGTACGAGGCTAAGAAGATAGTCTGCCCTCTAGGATTGGAAGTTCAGAAGATTCACGCATGTCCGAATGATTGTATCCTATATCACGGTGAGGAGTACGAGAACCTAGAAGCATGCCCTGTTTGCAATGCACTACGATACAAGATTAGACGAGACGATCCAGGAGAAGTTGACGGGCAGCTAACAAGCAAGAGAATTCCTGCTAAGGTGATGTGGTATTTCCCTATAATACCATGGCTAAGGCGTTTGTTCAAGAACAAGGGGAATGCTACAATGATGCGATGGCACGCTGAAGAGCGTCAACAGGACGGGATGCCGAGACACCCCGCCGATGGTTCGCAGTGACGAAACATCGACAGAAAATTTAAAGACTTTGGAAAGGACGCACGAAACATACAGTTTGGTTTGAGTACGGATGGCATGAATCCTTTTGGAGAGATGAGTAGCGGCCATAGCACTTGGCCCGTTACGATGTGTATCTTCAACCTCCCCCCTGGCTATGCATGAAGAGGAAGTACATAATGATGCCGATTATTATTCAAGGCCCCAAGCAACCTGGTAATGACATCGATGTGTACCTAAGACCACTGGTCGAAGATCTTAAACTGTTGTGGAAGAAGGAAGGTGTCCCCGTGTGGGACGAGGACAAACAGGAGGAGTTTAACCTACGAGCGCTGTTGTTCATAACCATCAACGATTGGCCTGCACTTAGCAACCTATCCGGACAGTCCAACAAGGGGTACAAGGCTTGCACTCACTGTATGGATGAAAGAGAAAGTACGTATCTTAAGCACTGTAGGAAGGTTGTATACATGGGTCATCGTCGATTCCTTGCAGCAAACCACCCGGTATGGAAGAAAGGCAAGCACTTCGAACATAAGGCTGACAATCGTAGGAAGCCTAAACATCGCAGCGGGAAAACAGTGTTTGCTATGGTTAAAGATCTTAAAGTAGTGTTCGGAAAGGGGCCTGGAAGCCAGCCTATAGAGAGCAAAGATGGTCACGCGGCGATGTGGAAAAAGAACTCTATATTTTGGGAGTTACCCTATTGGGAATTCTTGGACGTCCGCCACGCAATCGACGTGATGCACCTCACTAAGAACCTTTGCGTAAACCTCCTTGGCTTCCTAGGTGTATACGGAAAGTCAAAAGATACATTGGAAGCACGTAATGATCTAAAGCATATGGAACAACGCGGCGACCTTCACCCGGAACCAAAGGAGAAATGAAGCCATTACTTGAGTCCAGCCAGCTACACTCTTAGCAAGGCAGAGAAGGAAAGTATGTTTGAATGCTTGGAGAGCATAAAGGTACCGTCTGGATACTCCACGAATATCAAGCGAATTATAAGCACGAAGGAGAAGAAGTTCACAAACCTAAAGTCTCATGACTGTCACGTGTTGATGACACAACTGCTACCAGTTGTAATAAGGGGTATCCTTCCAGACAATGTCCGGGCAACAATAACAAAGCTATGTGCATTCATGAACGCAATTTCGCGGAAGGTCATCGATCCGGATAGATTAGAAGCCCTTCAGAATGATGTACTTCAATGTCTCGTTAGTTTTGAGTTGATATTTCCACCTTCATTTTTCAATATAATGACGCATCTGCTTTGTCACCTTGTGAAAGAGATCAGTATTCTCGGGCCTGTGTACCTACACAACATGTTTCCTTTCGAGAGGTACATGGGCGTTCTGAAGAAGTATGTTCGTAACCGTGCTCGTCCAGAAGCAAGCATCGCCAAGGGTTATGGAACAGAGGAGATCATCGAATTTTGCATAGAATTTATTGAAGACCTTCGCCCAATCGGGATACCTGAATCACGCCATGAAGGGAGACTACGGGGAAAGGGAACTCTCGGAAGGAAAGCAATAATGACGGTAGACAACAATTTATTCCGTAAAGCCCATTTCACGGTTCTGCAACAATCTTCATTGGTAGCTCCTTACATCGAGGAGCACTTGGCTCTAGTTCGCGCCAAGAACATCGGTAAGTCCGATGCATGGATTACACGGCATCACATTGATACTTTCCCCGCGTGGCTACGACAATATCTCATGGGTAACGAGTCGATCAACCAACAACTTGCCTTCCTGGCGAGGGGACCGTCTGGGTCGATCGCGACATTCTAGGGATATGAGATCAATGGGTACACATTCTACACGAGAGCCCAAGACATGAAGAGCACGAACCAAAACAACGCTGTTCGTGTCGATGCCATGGGACACGATGTAACAACTGACACGTATTACGGTGCCATCGAGGACATATGGGAACTTGACTATGGTCCTCTCAAGGTTCCTCTGTTCCGGTGCCAATGGGTTAGGTTGACTGGTGGAGGCGTAATGATTGATGACAGTGGGATGACAACGGTTGACCTTAACAAGGTTGGATACTCGGACGAACCTTTTGTCCTTGCCAATGATGTAACGCAAGTCTTTTACGTGAAGGACATGTCTAGCAAAGGAAAGAAGGGCAGAGGGCCTGACGAGCCTAAGCGTCACGTGGTTCTCCCAGGCAAAAGAAAAATTGTCGGAGTTGAGGACAAGACTGACGAGGATTACGATGAGTTGGATGGGCAACCCCCTTTCACGGTGACGATTGACCCTAGCATCCTCCTATCAAATGAAGACACCCCTTACTCATGTAGCGATCACAAGGAGGGAACGATAGTGAGGAGAAAGTACGTGCGGTCAACCGTCACCGCCGATGTATTGCCGTAATTATTGTGTACATGATGTAAACTATTTTGGATGTATTGATTATCCATATAAATCAATTGTTGTATGGCATATGTTAATTACGCACGACTATTAGAGGTTTTAACAAGTTTAAATCATGTATATGCTAGTTATATGCGATAATTACAATTTTTAAAAGTTTTAAATCACGCAGGTGGCATTTTCATATGTTAATTAGAGTTTTTAACAATTAATTTAATATCATTCATATGCTAATTATATATGACTATTCGAATTTTTAAAAGGTTTAAATCATGCATGTGGCATTTACATATGTTAATTAGAGTTTTTAACAATTAATTTACTATCATTCATATGCTAATTATATATGACTATTTGAATTTTTAAAAGTTTTAAATCATGCATGTGGCATTTACATATGTTGATTAGAGTTTTTAACAATTAATTTAATGTCATTCATATGCTAATTATATATGACTATTCGAATTTTTAAAATTTTTAAATCATGCATGTGGCATTTACATATGTTAATTAGAGTTTTTAACAATTAATTTAATATTATTCATATGCTAATTCTATATGATTATCCAAATTTTTATTAATTTTAAATAATGCCGTATGTATATACATATGTTAATTAGAGTTTTTAACAATTTAATATCATTAATATGCTAAGTATATATGATTATTAGAATTTTTATTTATTTTAAATCATATATTTGCTTATTACGTTTTATCAACTTAATTTATTACAGACAACAATAATTTTTCGAAGTAATTGTCATTAATTTTTGTATTTTAAATAATTTTAGTGCATTATTTTCTATTTTAGAAACACATATGTAATGGAAATTTATATTCAGTGCGCTTATCAGTAGTCCCGGTTCTTATCCCTAACCGGGTTTAAAAAGAATTTGGAAATAGCGGGAAAATATCTTTAGTCCCGGTTGATGAGAACAACTGGCTCCCGGTTGTTCTCATCAAACGGGAATAAAGATCTAGGGGACCAACACTTAGAAGTTTTTGCCTGATCAATCTCTCTCGGCTTCTCCTTCGCCGCCACTGCCTAGGGCATCCCCGCACCGACACCGCCGTCGTTTCTCGCCGTCGTCTCGCGCTCGTTGTCGTCGCCGCCTCCGCCTCCTCCTCCGCCGCCGCATCTCTGGGGTGAGAGCCGCCGCCGCCTCCCTCTCAGCTCTCTCTCTCCGATCTCGATCTCTCTCTCTCCCTCTCGGTTGACGCCGGCCGCCTCGTTGCCGACGCCGACGCCGACGTCGTCACGACACGACACCGCGCCACGACACCGCGGCGGCATGAAACGCCGAGACGCCACGACGCCGCCGCGGCACATCACTGGCGCCGCGCCGCCACGCCGCCGCGCACCGCCGCCGCCGCGCCGTGTCGTAGGCTCTCCGGACCTTCCATTATAATTGAGAGATGAAGTGAATAATTCAAATCATCAAACAAGCATAATGAAATATCCGACGCCTCGAGAGAGGAATATTGGAGATATTGCTAGGCCTTTAGCCTGCCAGTCAACTTCAGCCTGAGATGTGCCCGTCAAACCACTCGAAGGCGGCAACCAGATGTGTTACACATTCAGGAGACTTGACAAAAATGGCTAAAGTTCTACAACATCTCAAATATTCCTAACTCATACTCATGTGAATCTAGTTCCCAGGATGTGCACTAGATTCACACTTTCATCTCAAGCATGATTAGACATAGCAAACACAAATAAGATGAAAGCGATTGTAAACTACATCTACTTTAGTTACATTGGCCGACTGGCCAAAAAAAAATATATATATATAGAACAGCGGAAGCTTGTCTACCCAATCCACAAGCACACCGACTAGGGGTTTACCCCATTAAGTTCAAGTCCTAGAAGAAGCAGTCGATCACCCGCATCACTCAAAGGCTAAGTCTAAATCCTGCAAGCAAAAGTTAATTCAACAGCAAGAGTCAGTACATTATTAGAAATAATGTACTGGCTAGCACCAAGACAAGCCTAAGACCCTACTTGCAAGGCATATAATCAAGGAAGGCATAATATGGTTCTTTTTAGCATAAAGCAAGTTTTATTTGCATAAAACACATTCAAAACGGATTTGCTTTCAAATAAAATTTCAGCAAGCTAGTACTTAGCATATGGGCATCAAAGTAGGCATTAATCATGTATAAATATTCACCTCATTGCCATCCATGGCAGCAAGGAGATCATTCTCAAATCTCATCACAATTTGAAGGTAAATTTCAGCATTTAGGAGAATAAACACAAGTCTATACTCAATACATATCCACACGCCGCTCATGACCGCGAGCACGGCTAATCGATTAGTTTTAACTCTGCAGAGTTTGTACACTTTACCCACATGATGCGAAATAATAATCATGCAAGAGCATGGCACGCGATACATAAGTACCCGATTTATTACCCACAACAAAGTTTTTCCAAAATTCATGATTTAGCCTTACACCAGCACGATACGTGTTCCTCCATCCTAGTCATACTAGAAATATGACCTAGAACCGTTAAGTGGCGGGCCCATGCCTTGAACTTAACGCCGTGGTGGCGGACACAACGGGAACCCACCCACGTGGCACAATACCGTTGTATTGGACAGACTTAGTCACCTAAACTACCACGTCGGGGTAAATAGGAAGTTCCTCTGAGTTATCCGAACTCATACACACCGGCCTACCAGAATGTAAGGCTAAACCATAAATAATTTACTAAGCTTGGGCTATCCCATACTAGCACATGTGGTTGTACTGTATACGAAATGAACTGACATTGAGTGAAGTCCTTAGGTCGGTTTGGGCGCACTCTCCCCCTATCGGTATACAACTAATCACCATATGTACACCACTTGAGGCCCAAACCTAAAATCCATGTTTTCCACTATTTTATTTATCAAAATCACAAGTTTTAAAGTTCTGTCCAGATTAATTAAAAATCAATTTTCATGTTTGAAATGAGCCCATAATGACAAGGAAGACCATTCTAAGCATGGCTAAGCTTTATAGTAACCTAGTGTCACCAAAACTCATATATAAAGTGGTATAGCCATATTGTTCCTAAGGTTAGGAATGAGGAATATGGATATATGTGGAGTTAAGGTGATAATGCAAATAATAGGAGTTTATCTAACAAGTTTAACAAAATTTTAATTTATTAGTGTACAATCGACATGCAAGATTTGCAAACATTTTCAATAACCTCCAAAAGATAGGTTCAAAGTGATCAAAGAGAGGGAGATGGGACTTGCCTTGAATCAGGAAAATGTCAGCACCTAAATCACTTCTTCACCGATTAAGCAATCATCTATACAAAGTACACGTTATGCAATTAAACACCGAAATATGCGAAAAATCCAAAATGTTCTAAAATGCGTGATTTGTGCACAGAGAATAGGTACTGGTATAAAATGAATTTAGGTGAAAGAATTTCTATTTTATCTCATTTTATTTGGGAGTTATGAATTTTAGAAGTTTCGTCGGTATAGTGTAGGATTTACTTAGTTACTATTGTGAAATGCTGTTGTAAGGTGATTCTTATTAAGTTTATGTTTGCTGGGGTGAATATATTTGTTTTCTAAGACTAACACATTTGGTTTCATAATTTTTAGAGTTAATATGAATTATTTATGTATTTTACAAGTTTTAACGTGTTCTAGGCATATATTCCCTATGTGTAAATGGCTTTGGAGATTTAGGTCCAGAACTTGCTCTAACTTGCTAGTGTTGTATAAAATGTGTATTTTAGTTAACTAATCTAATCTTAGTTTATAAAATTTAGTGTTCAAATTACTTTACTTCACATTTTATAAGCTAGGGGATGTTCTATGTTAGAAACTTAACATATCAATCTGGAGATTATTATATGAGTTAAGGATACTAAGTTTTGGTGGAAGGGGATGGATCTATGCCTTCACTGGTTCAACAAGTTTTATTTGGATTTATTTGGAGCTACCATGCATATATATACTTTTTCATATGTATTGTTTAACCACTACTATGTGTTTAGTTCCTATTCTACCAAATTAAGGTTCAGAGCCATGGTCTGTAAAGAGGGTGCTATAATTCACTCTACTAAGTTGAAGTATATCACTTGCTGGTTCTATAGAAAATTTGGTTCACTTCATTTTGACTATAGATGAATTTTCTACAAATGTTACAATTTAAGGTATGCTCCATGTTGCTTATTCCTTACTTAAATACTTAGGGGTTTTCGTTATACTGTAAGTATGTCTTTTTATTTTATAACATTGAAGTGCACAACCCTATGATTCTACTGAATTTGGGTTTACTCAAAAAGGATCTAAGATGAATTTTATATAAACTTCTAAAGTTCAGCTTATGCAAAACTAGTCATTTTAAAGGTAATAGTTTTAGAGGCATTCGATGTATAGTATGTATACTATTTCATTTTGCTTTATAGGAGAACATAAGTTGGTGGATCTGTAGAAACTGAGTTTGCTCCAAAATGAGTTGAAATGAATTTTGTATGCATTTTATAAATTTGTGCATGCTTTATGTGTGATTTAACTTGGATAAATTTTAGAGGCTAAATTTGTACTGTGAGTGCAAGTTTTTATTCCATAACACTAAAGTTCACAATTTGGTGAGTTGACAGAAATTTGTATCATCTTAAAATGAGCTATATTTAATTTTATATGGATTTTACAAGTTTTAGGTACTTTCCTTTTATAATTTCAGATTTTTGTTTCCAAGGGGTCCACTGTCAGTGAAAGATCAATATACAAAAAGATCCCTGAGGTTTCTAAGAATCAACCCGCAGACCTAGCCTCATATGTCAGTGAGTTGAAAAGTTGCACATTAATCCTTATAGTTGTTTAAATTCTCGAAACAAGGTCCCTGACTTCTTTTCTCATGCACAGAGGCAGAACAGCCATGGCTGAGCTCGATCTCGAGCTCACCGGCGACAAACGATGGCTCGTTTGGGGGTGCAACCAAAATACAAAATGAAGATCATGTTATTGCGATTCCATTCCTCTACTTTTCTCGGTCAGTGGACATCGGAGTAACGCCGGCGGCGAGTCCGAAAGGAGGATGTTTTCGGGTGGTGATGCATGTGCTTCTACAATCATGTATTGGTTAATTGGGTGCATGCATGTATGTTCTATAGGCTGAAGGGTGCTCACCGAGATGCTAGACATGGCTGGGGTAGCTAGGTTGATGACGGCGGCTCGTGTAACGGCTCGGCGGCGGCAAGAACCTCCGGGTGAACGGCGATGGCTCAATCAGCTCCAAGAACTATCATGCATGTGTGTCCATGAGGTTAGAGAGGCCCCAGGGATGCTACTGATGCATGGAATTGGGTTGGTACTCACCGGAGGGGGTGGATTCGGCAACGGCGACGGTGACCGGAGGTGGAGAAGACGGTGGACGATCTCCACACTCGTAGCACCATCCTTCGAGATTCTTGAGGGGAAATGGAGAGGAGGTCGAGGCGAAGACGCTGGCGCGACAGCTTGGCCCGGCTTGGTCCAGATAAGCGGGAACGGCGATGATGTCACTGCGGCGGTGCACAGAGCGCGCTCCAGAGCTCCGGTGTGCACGGCAGCGTTCCCGTCGATTGGCTGCACCAGAGAGGATGAAATCAAAAGGAGAAATATTCGGCATGGTGAGGAGAGTATGGAACGCAAGAGAAGAGGAAACGACCGCGGCTCATCAACGATTGCGGCCATCATCTTCTTCGCGGCCGGCGATGGAGAACCAGTGGAGAAGAGCAGCGAGGATGCTCTCCCTCGGATGGATCGGCACTGGAATGGTGGGTGAAGAGTGGCGACGCGTCTGGGAGAGGCAGAAATGGAGCTCGTCGTTTTTAGGGTGTCGACACGTCGTGGCCACGCGTCGCGCGGCGTCTAGAGCCGGTCGGCGCTCGATCTCTCCCTCTCAGTGTTTCTCGGTCAGCTAGGGAAGTTGCACAGAGGAAGGGCAAGCCAGAGGGACTGACAAGGGGGCCCAGGTCGAAGTAAACTAGGTGGAAGAGAGATGTGTAGGCAGAAACATGGGTGAGCTTGGTTTTTGGACGAATTTCCGGAATTATTTTCTCCTCTAATTTTGTAGCTTCAATACTTAATGTGTTGATCAGATTAGCTAGTATTGATTTTACTGGAGGTAGGTGTATGTACCTAGTTTCCATTTTCTTTGGTTGCACTCAAAAATTATGGATAGATTACTCACAGAAATTAGAGGAATATGGGTTCTTTGGAAACTAGTTCGAATTTTTAGGAGACCTAAACAGAGAAGATAAATTCTGAAAAAATTATTTTTATTCATGATAAATGACCTAGTATTTGAATAAATTATTTTACTTATACACTTTTATGCAGTTAAATGCACTTTTAGACAAAGTATGGTTTTAGCCGATTAAGAACTACAGTTAATCTAGTTTTTATTAGTTTGACTGATTTATTTGAGGTACCAAATTTAGTTATTAAATTATACCAAAATTACAGTGAGTTGTATGTGTTGAGTAGAGCCTACATGAATTTTCCCATGATTTTATCTTGCATGAATTATTTTAGATAATTCGCAGGACTTATGTCTTATATGTGTTTCTCTTTCCTAAATGCATGTAAATGTTTATAAAAGTTATATTTGGACTCTCATTAACCTGAGGTGATGTTGATATGTTAGAATCACAGTTTACCTTACACATGTCATAAGCTCCTTCCCTATTTATGCATAAGTTTACTTTAGTATTAAATTAAGAGAATGCTTATAGAGATGATTAAGATAGAATATACCCTATATGATATAATTTATTTGTTCACTTTCATGTTCATGACATGTCTTCAGATGGATGTCCAAATTAGTTTTGTGAGGCTTGACATTAGCCATGTTGATATTTTTTTTAAGGTGTATGGTTTTTATGTATTATTTTCCATTAGTTAACACTAGGCCCTAATGGTTTAGTTGTTTATCTAGATCTTAGTTAATATTCATGAGACCTATTATGAAATGCAAATCGAAAATCCAAATGCATAAGAAGGACTCAAGTCAAAATATGATTTATGCACGTATGCATGCTTTCACTTGGGTTGCATCCAAGTCCTAGGTTAAAGATGAAAAAGTTTTTAATTTGTTCTCAAATTTTATTCATGCAAGAGTTGAATCAACTCCACCTAGGTTTAAAATGGAAATTTTTGGTTTACAAAATTGAAGAACTTCCCTTTCAACTAGTTTTGATGGAAATTCCTTAATCCTAAAATTCAGGTATGTTACACGCCGCCACCGCGCAACGCCGCCGCCGTGCCGCGCGCTTCGCCGCCGCCGCGAAACGCCGCCGCCGTGCCGCGCGTGTCGCCACCGCTGTGCAACGCCGCCACCGGGCCGCGCGCCACGCCGCCACCGCGCCGCGCGCCGCACGCCAATGCCGCGCCGCCCCGCCCCGCCCCTGATCCGCTGCCGCCACACCGCCGCTTCGCTGCCGCCACGGCATCAAACGAATTAACGTGAACGTGCACGAACGTGAACGAACGTGAACTAACGAACGTAAACGTGAAATGCAATATAGGCAAGTGAATAAACGTGAACGAACGAACGTAGGTGAATGAAACGTGGCCTTAACGAGAACGCGAACGTGAACGATCGTGAACGAAACGTGAACGTCAAATGCAATATATGTTACTTTGCGTTTATCCTAATACATCTTTTTGTATGTTGCGGAAAAGACGTTGTCGGAGTCGTCCCTCAAGCCGGAGTGGTAGCTAGCCCTCGAAGGAATTCACGCAGGCAAGTGACGATATTATATCGCAGAAGGTTATATTTGTAATGCAATTAAGACTATTAGATTTAATATACGACACTTAGACTTAGTTTTAATATAAGATTATTATAGTTTTAATACAAGATTATTAGATTTGTAACTAGACTTAGCATATAAGATTGTTTAGGGTTCTAATATACGACAGTTAGACTACGCATATATCACTATTTGAGTTTTAGTATAAGATTATTAGATTTGTAATTAGACTTAGCATATAAGATTGTGTAGGGTTCTAATTTACGACATTTACACTTAGCATATATGACTATTTGAGTTTTAGTATAAGATTATTTGAGTTTTAATATAAGATTATTAGATTTGTAATTAGACTTAGTATATAATTTATTGACTAGCTAGGGTCCTATAATATACGTCACCTAGACTTAGCATTTATCACTATTTAAGTTTTAGTATAAGATTATTAGATTTGTAATTAGACTTAGCATATAAGATTGTGTAGGGTTCTAATATACGACAGTTACACTTAGCATACATGACTATTTGAGTTTTAGTATAAGATTATTTGAGTTTTAATATAAGATTATTATATTTGTAATTAGACTTAGTATATAATTATTGACTAGCTAGGGTCCTATAATATACGTCACCTAGACTTAGCATATATCACTATTTGAGTTTTAGTATAAGATTATCACTTAGCATATACGTCACCTAGACTTAGCATATGATTGTTAGCATATAAGATTGTTAAAACATAAATGTCTCATGACTTAGCATCTGTTTCCTGTATGAACAGATGGCTGATCGCGATGATGAACAGATATTGTACGATACAATCGCGGAGGGAAGCAGCCAGTACTGGAACGAAGAAAAGGGGAACAAGGATCCAAACCAGTATTTGAATGAGGAAGGGAACGTGGAGAGGGATGCGGAGGGGAACCAGGAGGGGCACGTGGAAAGGGATGTGGAGGGGAACCAGGAGGAGGAGGCTAGTGGAAGTCAACCCTCCGCTGGACAGAAGAGGGCACGCGGGCAACGAGGTGCCGCGAAGAAGCTTGAGGGTCAGCACATCATAACGGAAGTGGACGAAGACGGCCGACCTAGTGCCCCGGCAGAAGCCGCCAAGAACTATGTACGTCATAGCGGTTGGGTTGTGCAGGATAACGTGCCTGTCAGTACGGTGTACTGGCGCAGAACAAGGGCATGCGGAGATCATGAGAGCTTTGTCCCAGATTCGGAGAAAGAGATGCTGTGGACCACAATGCTCGAGACATTCACCCTTCCCGCGGGTACAGAGGACAAAGTGAAAAGGTGGACTCTGAAGAAAATGGCAGAACAGTTTCAGAGCTTCAAGGGAGATCTATACCAGAAATATATCCTGAAGGGGAAGACACCGAACTTCGACACATTCCCAAAGCTAAGGGATCACTGGGACGAGTTCGTTGCATATAAGACAGGTGAACAAGGGCAGGCGATGATGGAAAGAAACAAAGAAAATGCCGCCAAGAAGAAGTACCATCACCACTTGGGGTCAGGCGGCTATAGCGTCGCGATGCCGAAGTGGGAGGAGATGGAGGCTAGCTTGCTTGAGTGGGGTATCGAACCGGCCACCGCTAATTGGCCGGAACGATCGAAGTTCTGGTACTATGCTCACGGTGGAACGCTCAACCCAGCAGATGGCTCCCTGGTCTTCGGCGATCAGATACGCGAGGCTGCGCGTTGATTAACAGACGCAGTGGAAGGCTCTTCTCAGGGCACGTTCCGACCGGACAGAGAGAAGGACGAGCTGTCACTCGCCCTGCAGACTCCAGAGCATCCAGGACGAACATGAGGGAAATGGGTGATTCCTTGGAATATTGGGTTCAAGGAGGACATCCACACATACAGGAGTCGGATGAGGAGCAAGAGAGATACCGAGGCGAAGATTGCAGATCTTGAGTTCAGGGTATCGAGCTACGAGCTCAGCATGCAAGAGGAGGTGGCAAGGAAGGTTGATGAACGCATGGCCGCACATCGGTCCAATGATCCCCAGCCGACCATTCCTCCTGCAATGGTGAGCCCGTCAGGAAATCGTAGCAGTTGCGCCTCAACAGGGCAGGTAGGATCACAGAGCATGGACGCCATGCAAACCCAGGACAAAACCACCTGCCCCGTTGATGACATCACTCAGCGGACACCATGTGAGCTGCATATCCCCTTCAAGAACTTATCAATAAAGGTAAGCTCGTAGTTTATAGATTTTAGATTTGGCCATTCCGCTTGTTGCTGCTTATATATGTTGATTACTAATAAATAACCTCTCACCACATGAAGGTGGCGTCGGGCATGGCCATCCCAACGGACCCTTCAGGTACTTCCACTGCAAGCCGATTCCAGCAGGATACTCCAAGGTCGAAGTTGAGTTGGTCGAAGGCGCGTACTAGGACTTCGAGCTAGATTACCCTGGAGGAGACGGTGAGGCGCATCTACGAGACACAAGCCACGCCATTATTCTATGGCGCAAGCGGTACATCATCCTCCCTGGGCGACAAGCGGCGTCTCGTGCACCATCTCCTCCGGCTCCTGCACCGTCTCCTCCTCATGCTCCAGCACCGTCTCCACCTCAGGCTCCTGCACCGACTCCTCCTCAGGCTCCTGCACCAACTCCTCCTCAGGCTCCTACACCGACTCCTCCGCAAGCTCCTCTTACGGCACCTTCCAAGTCAAGGGCCCCCCAAGCTCCACCGCCTGCCCCCACAAAGGCAACGAAGAAGGCGAAAGTTGACGCCGCCAAGAACAAGGACCCGGGGTACGATTGCACGCAAGAGGAGCTTGACGCTTACGTGGCATCAGAAGTCAGGAGACAATTCAAGCCTCGAAGTCCAGAAAAGAAGATTCCTATAGACCCGAGTGTCAGGAACTTCTTCAGGGGTATGTCTGCACCTGCCAAGGAGGCCATAAAGCTATCGGACTATGAGTGAACACTCAAGAAAGCATGTTCTAGAAAGTCCAAACCAGTCCCTCAGCTTGGAGAGCAACCAAACCAGGAGATCGAGCCGTTAGTGACCGGTCAAGATTTTG